CTGATGGGTTAAAATGATGGTGACGAATCAGGCCTGTATATTTTTTTTACTGTATTACATGATTTTTGTATTATTTACATACTATTGATATCTTTCAAAGACGTCGACGAGCATTTGGGGTCCACCATGATTTTTTTATATTTATATCGTTCGGCTGTCTCAACTCTCGATCCTAAATTCCATAATAATATAATTTCCCAATCTATACAAATAATAAACCAATTACAATAATTATTTATTAATTTTTCTCTAATATACCACGTATAATTATATTTCTATTATCTTCACATCATATGATAAATAATAATACAAATTTACAATACTCCAGTTCTACGAAGCTTAAGCTTGTGGTTGGTAACCCATTTAAAAAAACTAAGATAACCATTGGGCGCTTTTGAGCGATGATACTAATATACATTTTAAACTTCAATCGTATGAGATTTCATTAAGCTAATGTTAATGAATAAGTTTACGAATAGGCAAATACGTTATTTATTATTAGAAAAGGTAAAGGACATTTTATAAAATGTCTATTTTAAAAATATAATAATAAGTACCTATATTTAATATATTGTTTTTAGGTTCTGAATGGAGTTATGGATATATTAATTTTACAATGGTACCTATGTATTTTATTTTTTACAAAAATTTACAGAAAGTAAAATTTATTTTAAATTGTGGTAAACTTAATATAAATATAAAAATAAACAAAATTTTTTATAAGTACCAATGGTTTTTCATGCTAAATATGATGGGACATTAAAAATTGATATTCATACCTAGGTACCTACTTATTTTTAAGTTATACTTACATAGATTTATTACATATAATACTTCGCAACTGCGACAACTACAACTTAAAAATTGCCTTTGACTCGTTAATAGATGTAACTATGTAACTACATTATTATTATTATATATTTCTCAATGTTTATGAAAAATAAAAAAAATAATAGTTTCTTATGAAATTGGTTGTACAATTATTTTTTTGTATAACTTAAAACAACGATTAAAAATATTCAAGTGCGCACATTTTTATTGAAGCTGTCATTATTTTTAAAAAATCAATAAATATCTTTGGTAAAACTTCAAAGAAATAGAATAACCATTATAATTATTACCTCTAATTTAAATCAAAAATGTAAGAAAAATATTTTATTAGATAGTTATTTTGTTTTTAAATCCTGTCGAAGCAATTAATTTATTTTATATTACGTATTGCATGTTACTTTGTGTTTGGAGATACTTTCTCTAGTAAAAAAAATGCTTATATTTTTAACTTTAATGGTAATTTATAGTAACAAATAATCCTAGTAGGTACCTATTTTATACCAAAAAGGGCAAGTAAAAAGTAAAAAAAAATTGTTTTTGTTGTCATTCAAAAACGAATAACTGTTTAGATACTTAAAATGTTCATCAAATGTTTATATTAGTATTTTCTATATTATACGTGATAATATAATACTATAATGTTTTGACCCCTTTTTAAAAAGACGCTTCACCCGCATACGATGTCACCGTCTTACATATGTATACAACACAGTAAAAACCGTTTTATGTGAGCAAGAACCATTCAGACTCTAGTCCAAATTAAGCAACTAAATTTTTACACCAGAAAGAGGAGATTTTGGATTGTGCACTATTGTTTTTAATTTTTTATATCACTAATACAGTAATACGAAATAAGTTCTTATCGTTTCAAATTCCATTATTTTTATGTTTCTTAAACTTGAATAACTTTTTTTTTAGTTCTGATATAGAAAAAATAAAAATGATATTGCACAGTCTAAAATCTATCCTTTCTAGTGTGAAAATTTGGTTGCTTAATTTGAACTACAGCCTGAGTAGTTCTTGTCCACATAAAACGGTTTTTTTATTATGTTGTACGTACATAAGACGGAGACAGCGTATGCGGGTAAAGCGTCCTCTAAAATATTTAAAATACAATAGGTTGGTATATTTTAAAAATATTTTAAATTTTCATTTTTATAAAATGATAAAAATTTGCAATTTATTATTATTACCATTTAAAAATGTATAATAATATATAATTAATTTTCATAGTTAAGAGGACGCCGCACCCGCATGTGTTACTCTGTCTTACATACATACAACATAGCAAATTTTCGTTCAGCAGAATCCATTTTATGTTGTTAGCTTTAACATTAGAGTAAATTTACCTATTATCAAACTTAAAGATAAGAATTTTATCTAGGTAATGACTTAGGATTTTATTGATATTTTAGTTTTAAGCTGAGTTATAGCCTTATAAGTTATAACTTTAAAATGCTCATAACTCACTTTAAAATTATAATATTAATAAAAGCCTATGTCATTTCCAAGATAAAATTCTTACATTTAAGTTTGATAATAGGTAAATTTACTGTAATGTTAAAGCTAACAACATAAAATGGATTCTGCTGAACGAAAATTTGCAATGTTGTATGTATGTAAGACAGAGATAACACATGCGGGTGCGGCGTCCTCTTAAGATTGACAAATTAACACTAGGTCCCTTATATAAGTAGTTAATTCAAAAATCAAAAAATAAATAATATTTTTTTTTTTTAAGATATTTTAAGATAAAATTTGAAATAAATTATATATTTCAACAATGAATAAAGATATTAATTTTTTTGAGTTATTTAAAAATGTTATTACTGTGGAATCTTAAAAATTTTAATTTATATTTTTTTATTTTATAATGACTACCATTTTCAAAACATTTAAATTAATTTTAAGCTTTTGTCTATTTATACCTACTACAAATCTATTAATACCGTAGAACGTGAAGGCGGTATTAACTAAAAAGTTATTAACAATAATACATTAACAATGATATGGTATACACCTACTATTTTAATGATAACTACAATAATTGTAATTTTTACCATAAAAATGGATTCAACCTTCTTACCTTTTACTAATAGTAAAATAATAATTATTATAATAGCAATATGAAAAATTTATAAATTTATAAATTTTATGTCATAAAATATATCATAATAAAATAGGTGATACATTTTTCATTCATATTGTTCAGAATCATACTTTTTAAAGAATTAAATTACAGAATTAAAATTTAACATAAATATTATACTGTACGGTTCATTGACGATTAACCTACTTACCCATTTTTATTATATTGACTTTATTTTTTAATCAGCCAAACAATGCAGAAATAATTGTATACACTATTATTATTGTTATACTTATACATATTACCAGTAAGCAGTAACATATAGATATAGTATGAAAAATAGAAAACTTACGATTTATTAATAGTATAACTAATGAGTAGTTATTATTTTAAAATATATTTTTATTAAGTTAAAATACAATTACTAAGCTATTTCAGTTCATTTATTTAAATATCCATTGTAATGTTCAAAATAATATTTAGTAAATGTTTAAATGTTTCCATAGATATAAATGATTTTTGATTTAGACATTTTATAATTAACTTAGAAAAAATTACATTGATTTTCTCATCAAATAAATTTTTTTGGATTGTTTATAAGTATTTATCAAAATAATTAACTGCATTAAAAAGCATGTATATTTTATATAGTATACTTATATATTATAATCAAAAATTATGATTAAACTATGACTATTATTTACATATTTTCAAATTAAATATATTTATACATTAATTTAATATTACTTTTATGTTTTAAAAGCATAAAAGTTAATTATTAACCATTTTCACTAATACAAAATAATATGTATAAAGCTTATGTAAAAAAATTAAATTTAAAATAAACAAATTTTACAAACGTGATTAGTCACGTCTTACTGGTTAATAAGACTGAATAGACTGATATTATATTATGGAAATCAAACTTTATTTAAATTTCTTATCATAATAATCTAGTTAAAAGTAATTTTAATAGTATGTATTTGTATATTTATAATTACTTTTATACTTGGTATTTTAAGTAGTAATGTTCTCCTTAAAACCATTTATTTTACCGTGTAACATAAAATCACAATATTTCTCATAAATGTTCACAGTATTTTCTTACAAGGAAATTACAGTCTTTGACTATCAAATCTTTTTAACAGACAAAAATATTAACCGTACACACATTATCAAGCATATTTTCTACATAAAAATATCTTGTGTTTACATCTAATTTATTCCATCTTTTTTATAAAATCTAGAATAATTATTTAAAGTTATAAAATAACACAAATTGTTTAAATAAATAGTTTTGAACGAAACATTACCCCTTAAATTTATAAAATCTCAAAAAATGTGTTATGAATACACGAATACATAATTCTGATGTTAAGGCTTAACAAGTGTGAAAATATGTTTTAGTCAAAGATATTAATTTAGTGTGATTGTTTTGACCAGCAAAACAATTAACAGTAATTATATTAACATGGAAAAAAATACTATTTAAAGAATCAAAAACCAATTAAACAGCATTTAAAGTATTTTAAATAATATAATAACTAACAATATTAAATACAATTTTAATAAAAGAGTTAACACTATAGGTATTTCTTGATTGTGATTTTATGCTTATATTTTTAAATAAACTTATATTATTCTTTTTTTAGATTAAATTATATATTAAATTTATCAATTGGGTTATTGAATAATTAAAATTTTTTATCTCATGCCTAATCTTAGTAATTACATAATATTATGTTTTCTGCGTTTAAAAATATAAAATAACTTTTTTTCAGGAAGTATAAAATTCATGTTTAATATGAGTAGATATTTTAAAATATAATATTCTAAACTGTATTGAGTATTAATATAATATATTTAGTTAAATGATATAGTATTAAATAAGCACTTTTTAAAAATAATAGTTGAATAAATGATTTATTTACTTCTTCTATTAAATAATAAAATAAATATTGAAACTTATATCATAATTTATAATAGAAATTAACTAAAAAAGTAGATACAAACTAATAATTAATATTATTAAGCAAATGTATTACTAAAAAATAAAAATAATAGCTGTTAATAAGACATTTGTTTATTTAAATTTACTGATTATATATATAATTCAATACATTTTCACTACTATACGTAAATATAATTTTAATCCCAGTGGAAAACTTTTCCAGGAAGAGGCACTTTTGATGGGCAGCCAGGTTCAACATTTGATTTCCTAGAACAATTTATAAAATTATTATCATTATATTATATATAAATGTTTGAGTCAATCAAATAATAATTATTATTTGGTTAATAATGAATCATTATATTTTAATTTTAATTATTTATGGACATTGAATAAGATTTTTGTAGTTTATCTAAGGTAATAAATTATTATTAAACTTAATTTTTTTTTTACTTTTAAAAAACTGGAAAAAATTCTCACAATGAGTTAGGCATTTCAATAATTTTAGTTCTAAAAATAGTACATACAAAGAACAATTTTTACTTTTATTTAGCATATAATATTTGTGTTTATTTTTTAATTAATTAAAAAAAAATATATAATTTATTAATATAAAAACTATTACAAAAGTTTACTATATCGAATAATTTAAATAATGAGTTAATGATAATTATTAAAATCTAATGGTGCAATTTTCATAGTTTATTACTTTATTAAATCAAAAAAAAAAAAATTATATATTATCGGCAATGTGTAATGTAAATAAAATAATTAAAAATTCCATTTTAATTTTTTACATAATATGCTGAAATTAGGTAATCATGTATTTGTGTTTCATAGATTATTAAAGTAATAGTTTATATTTGTAAAATTTCACTAAACTTTTAATAGAAATATATTAATTTAATGAAGTATAAAATATTGTTTTTAAACTTTAAAATTTTTATTATATATCAAATTAAATAATTTTTACGATAAGTGTAAAAGTTATACAATGGGTGTTGGATTGATTGATTATGGATGGGCTATTTAATTACACACACTTCAACATGTGAAGGCTAATTATTCAATTTAAAGGCCATGGCATCATTTGGATTTTAGTGTCATTATATAGTCATCAGAAATATCAAGAGCCACTAATTCAGTAATGAATGAGTTATGATGAACTTACAAGACTATAAGAAATAAGAATTGAAACTAAATTATTGTTTTACTGTAAATCATGTATATGTTACAGGCAATGTGTTGAATCCGGTATTACACAGAAATCCTAAGTATTCTATAGAATACCAAAAATGAGTAGGAAAAGTATATATAATTAATATAAAACTTAGATTTGTACCTAGTTTACCTCTGTAAACGATTAATGTTTATCTTGACGATTATGCTATTGCATACAACACGTGTGTAATGTATTATCGTTATTATTAGCTAATCATATTACCATGTTATTGGTGTATACTGGAAAATTCAATATACGTCTTTAAAAATATTATTTTTTTTCACTTTTTTAAAAGTGTTTATCACATTAAGATACATTAAAATGTCTGAATGTTTTTATGTTGAATTAAAGAAAAGTTGAAAAAATACTGTTAATTTATCAAATAATAAATTGAAAATGTCAATTTAAAAAATGCTTATGTGTAAAAAATAATATTTTATGTAGTTATAAATGTAATTTATCAACTAATGCTGCAATAAATAAATAAAAATAAATAATAATAAACATATTTTGGTTTAACAAATTACTTAACATAGTATAGGCATTTTATAGAAATCCTAGGAATTGTATAGAATACCTAGGCATAATAAATATTACCATTTAAATTTAATAAATTGCCAAATAATTCAAGGAATTCCATAGAATTCCTAGGGAATTTATAGAATGCCTATATTCACTACTTTTCTGGTAACATAAACATGAACAAAACAAAAAATAAAATAAAATTATGCACTGTAACTTCAATACATTTATCACTCTGCTTAAAATCTACAACTGAATTATTTACTATTTTATACACAGTTCAAATTAACCAATCAAATCAAATTTCCCATAACATATACATATATATATAAATATATTATTTTATTTTATTTAAAATACAAATAATTACTTAGTATTTTCAATAAGTTTTGAATTATTTTCAAAAATAAGTACTGGTTGTGTAACTTCTCTACGACTGTCACGTGCATAATAATAATTATTAAAAACTGTATGATTAGGTCCTCCTGGAACATCAGGTGGAGGTTGAGTGGCTGATGATACTTCATCAACCATTCTTATATTTGGCTTGAAATTTCGCTGTAAAAAGGTAAATAAATTAATATAACTGATAAAATGCAAAATAATTATTTGTTTATATAACTTTTATATTATAAAATTAAGTTGAAATCATTTAAAATTATATCTAACTAAATTTATTCTGATCTGTGTTTCTCTTTCTGTAAAACTATAAATTATTTTCATATGATACTTTCAATCATTCATTAGGTTGACCAAAGCTTATAATAATTATTAATGGTTATTTTGACTTTTCTTTGAACACCATAGAAATAACAAATAACATATATAAAATATACTGATGAATGTCAAGAATGTCAATTAAGAAAAGTAATTCTACTTTGGAAAAAATAACAAAATAACAGTGTTTCTGTTGAGTTTTAAACATTATGTCAAAAATAATACTATTAAAAAAAATGAAAAAAATTATTCTAATAATAATATATATAAAACTACATAAGACATAAGCGATTAATCAAAATTTAATATTTGAAAGTTGTTACTAAGGTCTACAATACACTAAGTCAGTTAATAGAATCCACAGATATCATGATTCTTAAATGAGAGTTATTTGGTAAAGTAGCTTAACAAAATAAAAGATTCTAGAATGAATTGATAATTTCAGGCTACTAGAGTTTGTAACTACAATTATTTGATTAAATTGTTGAAATATTTATGCAATATGCCAATATCAATTAAATAAACTTAAATCGGAAACTGCTATTTTTTTTTAAACCAGTACCAATGCCCTACAAAAAGTTAATTTAAATCAATTTTTAAATAATATTTAGTATTTGATTGCATTAGTTAACACAGTATCTACAGAATACGAATGTGATACTTACTCCACCTAAGAATACTCGAAGAGCCGAAATGAAACCGGATGGCTTGAATTGGCTGGGTATTAAGGAATTCCAATTGGCCATTTTGTCAATTTATAGTCAATACGTAATACGTATATGAACGGAGGAAAGTCAAATGTTCACTAGTTTTCGAAATCTTGAAATTACTTTTATGTCGTAAAATTTTTTTTTATCATCTATGTTATCACAATAGTTGAAGTCTGACCGACTGATTGCAGTACGGTAACCTTCAAGGATTAGATAAACACAATAAACACATGATAAACAGTCTAAACAGAGCTTTTCGATTATAGTTATTGATGGAGTATAATAATACAATTATTGTTACAATATAAAAATATAAAATAATATGTTAAAACCACAGATGACGTTTTATCTGTTCGTGGGTTTGGATGTTAAGAATCTAAGAAGTAAATTAAACTTAGTGCATTTTATTTTAAAAATTTGACAATACTGTAAGACATGATAGGTATGTATAATGTGAAATTGCATTAATTAAATAAACTATAATAAAAAAAAAATTGTATGTTTTAATAATTTAAAAATTGAAGAATTTTGGTAACAAAAATAAATGAGGGCCAACGCTTGATACTGCCCGCGGTATTTCAAATTATAGTTATGTCTCTGCGTGATCTATTATGCGTGCAATATGCATTATATGGAGTATAAATTGTTACGGATAGAATGTATTAAATTATGGGTATTAATTTGTTTGTAATGCATTTACTATTAATTATTGATTTTTTAATTATGTTTATCATTTTAAAGATTCGAAACAGCTGATGTTTTTTTTAATATTTTTATAACGCAAACGATCGGGTTTTGTAGTTGTTGCCTTACAAGTATCGATAATAATTTAAAAAAAAAATCACATACCTATTAAATAATTTAATAGTGTTAATAAGTAATAACTAAAATGATTAAAAATATTTTGAAAATCTTGGGTACCATGTACACTTATCCTCTAAATACGGAATACTCGATCATCAAAATTTTGTTTACTATTTGAAGGTGTCTACAATTAAGAATGAAACTATGACAATTATTACAATTAACTAAGTATACAAAAAAAAAAAAAAATGATATTTATAATTTATATGCGTTATATTATTATCTAATAACGATAAAAATGATCAATATCTAGCTATAGAAGTGCCTGTCATTTAAAGGTTTTCCTATAATCCTATAGATAGTAGGTACTTATAGCTATGAAATCGAAGATGTCCCCGCTCCCGACAAAAATGTTGTATATTTAGACTTTAGAGATATTCTTTAAGAGAGATTTATTGTATATAAAAAGCTTACTTGAAAATGTTGGTATATATTTCGAGTACTTATCTATCTAATATTCGTTTTTCAGTTACACAAAAAAATAATAATAATAATAATAAAATTGATTTTATCGAATACAGGTATTGAGTAAAAATTTTAGTTTTCCTATATTTTTTATTTATTTATCCCAATTATTTTGAAAAATACTGTGAATTTTTATTTCTTATTTTTAAAGTTTATAAATTAAATCCAACTTTCTATCAGAAACTACACACAAGAATTAAAGATCAAAACATTTTTTTTTACTATTTATTGTGTAGGTATACGCTTAAAAAACATATCATTAAGAAATCAATACATTAAAAAATCCGTTTATAGTTAAAAAAAATAACGTTTTTTCTTATTTAATTTATATAAATCGATAGTAAGTATTGAAGAATACCTATCGCGTATTATGAAAAATAATACTTTAACTTAATACTCCAATGTACGACTGGTTCTGTCTAATAAATTATAAATAACATTTTTACACTTAATTAGTGTATAAAAACAAAATTGAACAAAATGTGCTTGATTTAACTTATTATGTAAGTATAAATAGTATAAGTATAGTTATACATTTTTTATATTATATTATGAAAATATACTTACCTAAAATTAACACTTACAAGTTACATCTCTAAATTAACAAAATACCTTCAATATTTAAATTAGCAAAAAAAAAAATCGTAACTTAATCTGTACCTATATAGTATTATTGAATTAGAGAATTTTGAAACAAATTTGTATTTTACTAAGGATATTCTAAGGCTTATATAAAAAAAAAAAAAAAACAAGCAAAGGCTGAAATTTCGGAGCCTTGCTTATGAGTACAACACTATAAGACATAAGTAAAGTTCGAATGTGTATACATTATGTATTTTTATATTCATTTATCGCATAATACATCCCCAATAACAACTTCTATCAATTTTCCTAAATACAATATTTTCCATAAATTATTTTTAAATTATTTATTGTCTTATATTTGTACGTTGTACCTATGTACACTAATCTATTGTGAATAGCCGTGGCAGTTTAGCTCATAGAGTTTAATCAGTGGTCACTAATAATTTTGTGATTCACATAATAAATGTCTTAATGTCGTAGCACTCGTATCAGTATTTCTATTTTATTACAATAGACGATAGTGGATTGCATTATATAATAAAACAGACCACTTCATTTTTTATTTGATTTTATTGATTTTTATATAAAAAAAAAAATTACATATTAGACATAAATGTATACATTTTGGGTAAGATTATATTTTTACACACATTTTCTTAATATTCTAAAAGCATATTTATTATATATGTTGAGATTGAAGTGATATAAATGCATATTACTAAACAACTTTTTGTGCTTACATATCTGGACTTTAAGTTTATGAGTTTTTAATTATGTTGAATCTAAAAAATGGAATTGTTATGACTTATATTACGTCAGCGTCTCTCAACCAGTGTGTTCCGACACATTGGTGTGTCTCCGAAATCCGAATAAGTTCAAATATGTCATTAAATATATTAAATGACACAAAATATCTCGCTCAACATTTTTGAATCGATTTACAAAAGTTAATAAGTATTTGATATAATTTCTATGATGATTAAAAATAAGTTATCTTTTATTGACATTTATCATTATTTTTTCTAAATTATTTTTAATTTTACATTTCCTACCAATTAAAATTAAGTATTAAATATTACCTATTACTCTTATTTTTATATTATGTGTCACAAATTATGCAATATTTTAATATGAATATATAGTTATTATAATTTTTTTTTTTGTTATTTTCTTGTAACAGATACTTATTAAGGTTGTATCAGTTATAAATTATAATATTACTTATATGAGTAGTGTGTAAAAACGTTCTAATGGTAATATGTTTTTCCCTGCCAAGCAATTCATTAATATGATCCTACACGGCAAAAATGTATTCGTACGGTGTATTCGGTGTAAAAAATATAAACGTCATAAAAATGCGAAATAAGAAAATTACATAATATTAAATTATAATGCAATATATAAAAACGAAGGTTATCTAGTTGCTTTAAAAAACTTTTACAATAATTTGTTCTTAATAAAAATAATAAAAACAATTTAATAAGATTCAAACTATTGATCGACACGCCAGATTTATCCCAAAACAATAGTCAATAATTTACAGTAATTAATATTATAGTATACTTATTACCTAATTAAGAAGTAAAATATTAATTATATTACTGGTCACCAATCGACATAATTTATATGCCACCTTCAGTATCATAAAAATACTTTACGAATACGGAATAATAATATCTTCACTGCACTTGTATTTAGTTGCACAGGAACTATTTTTCACGAGATTGTGATTAAATATATTGAGAAAGTTAAAAAAATAGTTTGAAGGACTATGTTTAAAAATATACCAAGTGTTAAATCCAATCTGCAATAATGATCAGATTGCCTGTATTGGCGTATTAGTAAAATTAGTTTTTAAAGCGAGTTACATTGATGACTGATACCGATTTGAGTACTTATACTAAAACCGAGATACACAAATATAGTGTTGTACCTATGCCTGTATTTTATATACCTAATTTGTTCATTTTTTACTTATTAAATCGGGTTATACAGATACTATAACCATATAATTATTTTATAAATATCAAATCTTTATTTTTTTGTCTCGTTTACCTATATGTAGGTGCTTACTATGTGTTATTTTTTTACTTTACAATTTATACTTTTATACCTATTTAAATATTTTGTTAGATTTAGTTATAATTACTAAAAGGGTGTGTATCCATTGGTTTATGTAAAAAAATAAAATATAATTTATTATAAAATAATAAAATATCCTTGAAAAAAGATACTGACACTTTGTTTAGAATCGTTTTACCTTTTACGTACTTGTCTATTTATAAAATATTTTATTATTGAATTAAAACTTAACACGTCCATGATCCAATAAACTATTACAGTCGTCCGCTCAAATACTTAATTTTGAAGTGATACACTAGAAACCTAATGGCTATTATACAGGTTACAATCGTACGAATAAAGTGTAAACTTTGTCATAATTGAGTTAATTTTTTTGCTTTTTGGTGTAAGGGCTAGCATTATCTTAAATTAACATACCTACCCTATTAATGGACTAATTGGACTATTATAAGATCACAAGAAGTAAAGTTTATTAATAATGATTAACTAATAATATACCAACCAAATAGGTAATTAGTATTTAATAGTGTAAAAATACATAAAACGCAGACCAACTTTTTCGTTAGTAGGTAGGTACCTATGTTATAGGTACTGTAATTGCCTAATTATATAGACAATTTTCTCTTATAGTATACCTTATAACCTCTTATAGTAACTGATGTTTAAACTTTTCAACCTATACGTCACTGTTCAAAGGAAGGATGGCGGACAGTGTTATATACACTATACGGGCATCAGTGTATAACGTTTTTAGAGAAAATATGCTGCAATTTATTGCACATTAATATATTATTATCAATATTCAGTTTAGTTCTGAAAATATTGCAGTGGAAGTGGAAAGTAGAACTCACATAACGAAGGTAGGAAGCGCATCGTTGTAAATTGTAACCGACCTCGCTATTAAAAGTAGCACAATAGCCTCTACTCAGTAGCAAATGTACATAGTACGTCCGCGTCCCGACAATATTACCGTTTTACTGCGTAGCAGCAGCTGCACCAGCTGACAGCCTTGATAACGACAACAAACATATATGCTGATTATGTGATAACGACGGGAAGAAAATAAAAAACAGTCGCAGTAATATTAATAATAACAATAATATAATATTTATTGCTATTGTCGATTAAAAATTTCGCAATGGAATTGAAATTATATTATTTTCGTTCAAAAACATGAAATGTTTCTACATATGAAACGCTAAGTCTTGCTGTGACTTTTTTCTATCAACTTCTTAGTGTCGCAACACCTTTTGATCGTTTTCTTTTCTTATAAGTTTCTGACGTTTTTTCTTGGATTGTGTGAGTGTGTGACCATGTATATTATTGTCATCACACTTATAATTTTACTTACTTCGAAATGACAATAACGGATAACTTTTTTACCATTGAAACACTAAACCGTGTGTGACCCGACTGTAAAGTTTCCAAAAATGTCAGCAGATTCTCCATGTAAAGCGTCCAAAAACCTGATCGGCAAGATAGTGCTGCCTGGCCCTGTTGTCGATCGTTCAATCATTGACAGTGTTGCTGGGTTCATTAACGATGTCGTCCCTCATGTGAGTAATTACTTGAATGTTCTTGTGTAACACTATAATATTCATTCTCATTTTGTCTATTCTGATTAATGATTGATATGATATATTTATTTTTCAGGGATATTCCAACATTTTAAATGTAGACAGTAGAGAAAAAATTCTATGGACACAATTTGAAACATTAGAGGCTAATGAATTTCCTTCAAACTTTGAAAATGATGAATCGCTTATGTCTGGTGTATCACCAATACTTCTTATTTTGGGTTATGGATTTGGCGTTCAAGTATGATAATTTCAAATTAATAATATGTGTAATATTTTTACCTTGTATTTAACATACATCAATTATAATATTTATGTTTAGTATTATCTTTTTCACTTAAATATACCTATTTTATTTAATATTTTAATACCTAATAATAATAAATATAACTATACAGTAGATTATTTATTAACACTTCATATATAGGTGCTTTAAAATAATTGTATATTTTGTTTTAATAATTAAATGTTTATTCTATATAAATTTATTTTGGAGGGATATTTAAAATTTTTATTTAAGGTTTGTATAGGTTTTTTCAGTAAGGTGAAGGTTATTGTATTTTGAGGAGAAAAACAGTTAATTAATTAAATAAAAATCATATTGTTCCATCTCTTTTATTTGAATTATAGGTAGCTAAAATGTATAGAAAAATAAAAATTATAAACTTTTACAGTAGAGCTTCAATAGTTCGAACAAATTCAGATCGAGCATCATCTGAATTACCTAAGGGTTTTCAAGATTACCTACTCAAATGACTAAAATTTTTATTTTTAATTCCACCATTTTTATATTTATTACACTTCAAATTACAAAAATAATAAATAAATTTAACATAATGAATTAAAATAATAAGTGTCTGTAGTAATAGAATTTAAGTATAGTAGTCAATAATTTTTTTCTGAATAATTTCTGAATAATTAAATAACTTGCTCGTTGAAGTAATAATACGTTTAAAATATTATATTTATGTTAGATATACATCATGAAACATTAAACTGATGAAGATAGGGAGGGAAGGGTGGGTGGTCAATTAGAATATTATTTTAAATTTGTTTAAAATATTTTTTCTCATATTTATAATTAATTTATTGTATTTATTAATTTTGTATATTAAATTAGTTGTGTAATGATATAAAATCATAAATAAATAAAAATATCTATAATAATAATTATAATAATAAATATGTAGATATTCATTAAAATATTAATTTTTAGAAAATATTCTATTTAGTAGTTATTATATTAGTTTTTTATTAATTAGATATAACATAGCGATACAATATATATCTGATAAATATATATTACATTATCAGAAGCTAACTTCCTTACTATTTGAATCTAATATAATAATGGAACATTTAAACTGTTTAATTCCGTAATGCTCCACTTCAGAAAAGTGTTGGCTTTTGAACATCTTGTATATTAGTCTGTAATTGTAATATCATTTTGAATTATATAAAAATACCTAATATTATTATAACACTGAATTTTTTCCCAAATATATTTATTCATATTTTTTAAATAATAAAAATTATAATTTTGTTCTAAGAAATAATAGAATATTTATTTACTTATTTTATTTATTATTTATTCTTATTCATGCAAAATTTGTGGTTAATTTACTTCACTAACTATTTGATATGGGTTTAATTTAATTAATTATTAAAACGTGTTAAGCTTGATTTATAAATTTATTATAATTTTTTAAAATACCTTTTAATTAATATATTCTATTAGATCAAGAAATATTTGCATTTTTTATTATTATTTCTTGCAAAACAAAATCTTCTTTTACAATATTATTCTATTTGATATTTTAAATTCATCTATAGAAAATAAATTTGCCTTTAACCGAGTATTATATACATGTTTAAGTTTCACTATAATGTTGGTATATTATTTTAGTGTAATTAGTATTTTTATAATAAATTCATAATTCTAATGTGTTTTTGAGGTAAATGTTGTAAACAATATTTTAATATTTTACAATGTAGTATGTATTTTAGTATATGTGTACAAATATTCTAAATTTATCATTTGCTTTAAAATTTTAATTTTAATTATTATTGTAAATTTTAATAGGTATTCATAGATAAAAATAATACTCTTTATTTTAATTGTATATAAAAAATAAATGATGAGAGTGTACTCAGATTGTACCAAAATAATAAGCTAGTAATGGATAATTTAAAAATACTAAAATATTTGTTATTTATTTTTAGTAAGATGTATAAAATAATGTATGTTAATAGTTTTTTATTCTAAAATCTAATACTTGGATATTAGTGCCGGGTCTTAAAATTTGGCAATAAGAAGTTTTGTGTTTATTTTAAAAATTTAAAATATATTTTAGGTGTGGTATATTGGTGCCAACGGTGAAGCATATGAAGTTTTATCTTGGTCACAAGGAGTCGTCAAGATTTTAAAATTTATACCTTCACCTTTACCGGAATTGAAATTTCGACAAGACCCATTTGCTCATAAAAGGCCATTAATTGCACTCTGTGATAATTCAGGTGCAGGACCACAGTTTTGTTCTGTCAGTTTTATATCATTAACTTGTGGAGATGTGGTATTTAATCTAAATTAATAAATATACTTGAGCTTTATTTTGTTAATAGTTAAATTAATGATTTTTCTTTCAGGTAAAAACAATTAAATTTAAAAATACTGTAGTCGATATTGCTGTAAATAGATTTGCTATAGCAGTAGTATTTGTAGAACGTATTGCTGTGTTTGATGCCCTCACTGTGGAAGATATAACTACAATTACTACATGTTATCCTAGTCCTGGAATTAAATTAAACCCAATTGCATTGGGAACAAGGTTATTTTTTTTTATTAATGTTTATATAGCTTAATTTTTATAAATAAATTTGAAATAACCAATAATAGGTGGTTGGCATATGCTGATCAAAAGTTGATTTCTTGGAACCGATCAACAGGAGGATATGAGGGAGAGAATGGCCATTCATATACAGCTACGGTTTTGCATGCAGCAAAATCATTAAGTCAAAGTTTGAGAGATTTAAGTGGCTCTGTAGCAAATAGTATTACGGGAGTGCATAATTCAAATTCAAGTCATAATATATCGGTTGCAAATGATTCTAATCAAATGAATCCAGGCATAATTACAATAATTGATATCAAAAATAAAGTATTGAAAGAAAATACACCACAAGGTCCTGATATTATTGCTCATTTTTCAGCACACTGTGAGGCTATTGTTGCTTTAAATTTTGATCAGTCTGGTCTTATGTTAGTAACAGCTGATAAAAATGGTCATAGATTTAACGTATTTAAAATACATCCTAGTATATTAGGTTCTTCATTTGCAGCTGTTCATCATTTGTATACATTGCATAGAGGTGACACCACAG